CTCAGACACATTCAGTGACTACATCACTCCTTACATCTGGTCACACAACTTCCCAGACTGCAACCCACTTTGCTATTATGTGTGGTGCACAGTTCAGCGAGAGACCAACAAAACTCCCTAAAACATCAAACATGAAGTGAAACTAAGGATTATGACAGCATTAACCAACTTAAACAAAGATACCGTCCAGAAGAATTTGCAGGTGATTCCGAAGTCGTGAGAAGGCCGTGTTTGAACCCCAATGGCGATTTTATTGAATAAATTTACCCTGTAGTATTTCAAGATATTTTTGCACAATTTTGGTAAAAATATCTGTTAAAATGAGATGTCAGTTTTATTTTCATTTTTTGTAATTTGGACGAAAGATTATCCATCGTACATTTTATATATTTACTTAATTCATTTTACAGCCGAATACAGGCGGTTTTCTCCCAGAATAGGTTCTGGATTACTTAGATATCCTTCTCAAATTGATCAAAGTTTTCTAGTAATTCCAACCGTTCTTTGTGGCGTACATTCCTTGTTCCGTCTCATTCTGCTGTGCAATCTGTTCAGTAGAATTTTGATGATGAATCTAAAATTATTGAGCATGAAGTTGATAGTTAAAATAGGTATCATGGTTCGTTTCGAACAACCTTAAAAAGTGTTCCAATCGTGGTGAGCGAAATGAATATTTGCGGAAGAATTGTATTCATCCAGAAGACAAAATTTGAAAAATAAAGAAGCATACTTTGAATATTTGCGATTACATAATTTTCCGTGACAGATTCTATTGTCTTAGTAATACTAATACTGCTGATATGAATACTAATACTAGTAATAATAAACTTCACCTAACATGAATATCTTACTGTACTGTGGGACAGCATGATATATACTGACCGCGCAATTCAAACCAATGGGTCACATATAGTAATAATGTTTTTCGGTAAAATAACTGTTATTTAATCGACAGGGTAGTCACATATGATAAAAGAATCAAAGCAAATGACACTGACAAAATTGTAAAATTTGTAGGTCTTGAAGTCAAATTTGCAATAATGAAGCATTTAAAACACAACCCCTATTTCAGTGAAAATAGGAGCAACATTAAAGATATTTGCCAACCACCCGAGGTGGTCAGATATGGCACAGGGAGGCTCAGTCAAAAATTCCCCGCAGATCCCGTAGAAAAGGGATCGGGTAGTTGTCTACCACCCGAGACGAGACTCTGTCCATCTGCATAGCCTCGTCTGGGTTCCTCTCCGTGCGAAGGTAGAGAGTTCGACGAGCACACGTAGAGACGAATCTCCAACTAATTGCCGAAGCATGTCGCCAGAGCAACATATTTTATGAAGATGAAAGCCATGATTATCTGAGTTACAATTCATTGGGCGCAGCAGCAGCGCTCTCGTACTCGGACAAATATGCACAATGCAATAAACGTAATAATTTTCTAAAAGAAAAAATAAATTCGCTACCTCAGGCCTCACATAATTGATAAAAGAAAGGGATTATCAGTTTTGAAAAATGTATTGATATGCTTATCAAAGTAAAGGAAGGAAAGGGATTTATTAGTTTGCTCAGCCATCTTTATAAGTTTATCAAAACAGAGGAAGGGACATCGTTTTAGTATTGAAGAATATGTTGATAAGAATTACAAAATCAATGGATGTGATGATCCATTTTAAGAAAAAGGGAAAAGTATTTGTCAATGTTGATAAGTGTGCTGATACACTTAAGAAAGAGTGAAAGGAGGATTTATTAGTATTTATTATTAGTAGTATTAAACTGATACTGAATAGTCGCTATCTATCTATCTATCTATCTATCTATCTATCTATCTATCTATCTATCTATCTATATATATATATATATATATATAATCTTTTGTTACTACAGAATTTAAAAATGGCTTTGAAAATCACGGAACGCATTCCTTTAAAAAGAAACTTTTTGTCCAACACTTCTTCAGAAAGTTTCGGTGAAAATACAATAGTCAAAATATCCCTTTTCAGTTTCGGCGTTTGTTCCAACGAATCTTTCTGAAGAATTGAACAGCCGGACTATTTACATGAAGGATTTGATTAAAATAGAGACAACTGGTGAACGTAGTGTATTACGATGTTCCAAAGATTTTGAATTCAAAGATGTTCTTATATACAGGTTGCCAACCATAGTTAAAGTGTTCTTTTTTGCCGTATTACTAAACGTACAGTGATGGGGAAGACGAAGATATAATAGGTTCATACCTTTCCCGAGTGAATTTACGCATAAGTCAATGTAACGAACTCGAAGAGAATTCGAACTCGTCTCTCTGATTTCTCATGTTGAAACGTTATCCATTGAACCACCTGCACATTCAATGTACAGAGTGTAGCGGAAAACCTCCCACATTATGATAAGTCATTAGTGGCAATGGTGTATCAACTAGGTAATGTCTTACCATTATGTGGTAGGTATTTGGGGGCTTTTCTCTTTCCAGTATATTCAAAAGAATTTAGAAGGAAGGTAACAAAAGATTTATTAAAAAAATTAAATAAAATCCGTCACTACGTCAGTTTGATAAAAAAATCTAATACTATTACTGAAAAAACAACGAAAAGATGACTGTGTAAAACATATTAGGCAAAAGTTAACGTCTATCCAGGTTCCCTGTGTCTGGTCTTCCAGTCAGATTAAAGTAAATTTGGCAAATTACTTTTTAATATTTATATAAACAAAGTTTTATAAATACAGCGAAAATACAAATTGACCCAAGTGGTAAACACTATATGACCATTAAATACAAATATGTTTTATAATTGCATATTACGAGTTGTTTAAAAACTATACCAAAGTTTTTTTCATGTGTAATGATGGTCGAATAGGGCCGCTCTTAGCAGCGAGGACTGTAGAATCGATCACACAATTCAAGATCGGAACTAGTCAGTTGCGATCAATTTCACATCAATTACCTTTCATTTTTCCCCTCAAGCCGTGTTTATATAGCAGTGTAAACTGAACTTTCTAATCCAGTCAGACTGAGATGGAAAACTCTGAATTAAAACTGTAGGAAATCACTCCATAATATTTCTCGAGATGTCATGGCAATTCATTGATATGAAGAATAAAAATAAAAATCTTCATCCGTGGCGAGCCATGATCGCATGATGACTTCATTTATAAACAACAATCTAGATTTTTAAAGCTAATATTAGAGTCTTTTGCACAGATACCTAATAATTGATGTTTTCTACCTTTTCTTCATAATTTTAATTTAGTGATTCTGTTGTAAATTTATTCTTTTAATTATCTTTCTCCTCAAACGAGAATTATAATGGTTATATTTAGTAATTATAATGATTTTCAGTTGAAATCCAAGTGAACATTTTACAGTTACATTTGCAGCTCCAACGAACGTTTGTCATATCTTAATACAAACGCCATAACGTTATCATTGATAATGATGTTCCTCTGTTGTTCAGATTTATAATCTGAACGGAAATGGCAGCCTGTCGTTGTATACACCACAATTTCTTTACCAACGTTTTTCAGGATGTACTCTGATATTTCTTACAGTAGCCTGTGTCCCTAAATAGACCCCCATATGAGTAATGACCAGGTTCGTCTTTGCTTATAATCGATGTTCGAACGAGGACTGTTGTTTTCATCGTGATTATACACTTTACTAGTTGTTCCACTAGGGTAAATATGATTTTTCATTGTCAAGACAATAATGGCGACCTGCCTTTGAAAAATCGTCAAAATTCTAAGTGAACTTTAATAATAATTATACTTTAAATTTATAGATGTCAAAATCAAATTGTTTGTTTGTAGAGACAGATTCTATTGCAAATCATAACAAAATTTCCTCGGAATATATTTATAACAGGAAGGATTTAAAAGAATGTAACTATGTTACACTGAAAGTATTTAAACTGGAATATTATCTGTATGTTGCCAACTAATTAAAATGTCATGGATGATGTTGCGTATATAAAAACATGAAAATGGTCTTTATGAAAGAACGAGAGAATTAAAAATTAGACCAAGTATGGATATACTTAGAAAACGAAAGTTTTGAAACAGAAACAATTATTTAGCTGATTCTAGGTTAGGGGACCACAACCTCCGTCTTCAAGAAATATTTTGTCAAGCGGAAAATAAAAACCCATTGAATAATGCGAAAATGTTGGTATCGTCATTTGAACTGCATATGCTTGCAAACAACGTTTTCCAAAAATGAAATATACTAAAAGACGCTTTAAGAAAGAAAATGGGTGATGACCACCTAGATAAGGTTTTGCTCCTGTCATCGACAAATATTTGAGCTGATGTGGAGAATATGTCAAACAATAATCAAAAACAATTATCCCATTAAATAATATTCTATTTCTAACTGTATTTAGTTTACAGGAAAGTATTTGGATGTTTTGTGGTTTGTGTTAATTGTTATCCTGTAGTAAAATAAGGAACCTTGTTTTAATAATATAAATTTGACATGGTTGTTTTTTTAAATTAAACCTCCAGACAAAGGTAGCATTCTAAACAGAACTAAAAGTTAGCCTTCTAAACGGAGCTAAAATGTAGCCTTCTAAACGGGAATAAATAGTAGGCTTCTAACTTAGCTAAAAGCCACCTTCTAAAGGGAGCTAAAAGTTAGCCTTCTAAACGTATCTAAAAGGTAACCTTCTAAACGGAGCTAAAATATAACCTTCTAAACGGAGCTAAAAGATAGCCTTCTAAACGGAGATTGAGACATTTGATAACATGGCAATCCTCCGAGGCACTATATAACAGTTTGGCCCACTCTCTGCAGAAGGCTGCCGACTCCTTTTCTAGGTGTACTGACGAAAGATGTAATCCCTTGATCTCCAGCCAGTATCAAATGTTACGATGTTAAATGTCTTTAAAAAATAATAGTGAACGTTATTAATAAAAAGATATTCTAAAAAGTTGCTTTAAAGGAATCCATCATTCACCAAACGAAAATGTCTTCAATCAAGTACAAAAGTTTTGGCAAACGACAGATTCTTGACTTTTGACCGCCGTACAGCTGGGAAGAAGAAGAAGAAGAAGAAGAAGAAGAAGAAGAAGAAGAAGAAGAAGAATGAGAGGATGAGGATTACAGTGATGATGGCGATGATGCATAGAAGTAGTGGGCGGCTATTTATATAAAAACTGAATAGTTTAATCGTAAAGATTGTCTTAATGAGAAGAAGAATTGTTTGAAAAGTTTCTTGTTTCTGAAGAGATGAAAACAATGTCTAGCTCTTTATATTATTATGGACGGAAAAATATATTAATAAAAAGCGTGGTTGAAAAAAAGGAAATAAAAGAATATGACATTCTCTATGAAGAAGATTTACTGAAATTATAGGGAGAGAAACAGAAGAAGATGACAATGGCCGCATCGAAAACAATATTAATAATTAAAATGAGGAACATTTTCTAGTTTACAATAGAGAAATACTTAGCAAGAGACGTCACTCACTCGCAAAGTCTTTCTGAAATTTTAAACAATTAGGAAATTTTGAGAAAAAAGAGAAAATAAATTTACGCAATGAAATTTAAAAGCATCTTTTCGTTTAAATGATAACAAAAGCTCCGTATTTCTGTCATTTTTTTTCCCATTTTCTAATGTTTAATTCACTCGAAGATGGACGCATAATAGAAACACTTTATGTTGAAGTAGCAAGGGGAGAGGGATGGAGTTCAAGAAAGAAAGAAAGAAAGAAGCAAGCAGGAGGAAATATAGAAGAAATGATACTTTGATAAAAAGAATACTTGAAAAGATCCTTTGATGATTCAACAAATAATGATATTTTGGACGCGTGTTATCATAGTTACAATAATAATAATAATTATAATAATAATAATGCCAACGACTACTATAATATTACTCTAACTAATAATAAGAATAGTAATAAAATTACTATTATTACTACTATTACGACTAATAATAATGGAGTAATCAGGTTCGATAGATACACTAAAGGGGGACATTTTTTGACTTAAATGAGCCTTGAATTAATTTCACTAATAATAATGATATTATAAAAGGCAGCTGATCTCATAAAAAACGAAAACAGTCAAAGACACACAGCTACAAAGGCACAAGTTAAAATTGTTTCTCGCTAATCATTAATAAGAATTGGAAAATGCAGTTGTTAAGACACGCACTTATATGTTCCTAGGTTAATTATAATCGGATCTGTTAAAATAACTAATAAATTTACTATAAAATATTTATTAATATATTCTTAATTTTATATATTTTCATGTTTGCATTGAATTATAATCATAATCATGTTTTATGTTCTTGTTTTCTTCTCTTTTTCATTTCCGAGCACTTTGGCATATGTGATAAAAACCTATTTAAAAAAAAAATCATTACCCAAGAAAGGCGATATGGCTACTAAGACGCAAGGGGTCACTAGGGTGATAAAAGATTTTAGCTGAAGGAAATGGAATCTCAGTCCTAACCAGTAGAAGCGTATTACTGTTCAAATGACGGGAAGGATATGAAACAGGCTATAGGCAAACTTATTTATTCTCATTGAAAAAAAATGAAGTAAATAAAGTTTAGAAATGTAGACGGAGACGTTAAGAGTATAGAATTAAATTCAGAGCATACATAATTCAAGTGCATCTAATTAGTTAATTATGTAACACCCGCTCGTTAATAAATTGCATACATGTCATATGGGAACAAGAAATATGGTATGCACAAGTACGTTTATGTATCACTTTATTAGATAAACTATATTTAATGTCACTCATATTTTAGGCTTGTCTATCCTTAGTCTTTTAACGTTTTGTTTTGTCTCTTACATCGATTTAGTTTACCAGAGCAAATTTGTCTCCTTTTATTTCCGATTATTATTATTATTATTATTATTATTATCATCATCATTCGATTTCTGCTATGGACACACTACCTACCAAGTCTGCGGAAAGACCTAAGGCAGGTCGTGGTGTGTTGTTATAATTTCATGTTAATTTTTTTTTTTTTTTTTTTTTTATCTCCGATGAAGTTGCTATGTTACATAGACAAAGTTCTCCTTAGTGTGTGTGCTGTACTTAATTTTTCTGTATGTCTCTTAAGCTGGGGTTTCAGGGATTCTTTCAATGTGTTGTTTTGTTCCATTTTTATAATTCCAAGTGCACCTATTACCACTGGTATTATTCTTGTTTTTTCAATTTCACATTTTTTTTTCTATTTCAATTTCCAGGTCTTTGTATTTTGATAGTTTTTCAAATTCCTTGGTTGCTATGTTACAATCCGCTGGACAAGCCATATCAATTAGTAGGCAAGTTTTTTTCTTTCTGGTTTTTGACAATGATGTCCGGCCTATTTGCTTCAATTTTTCTGTCTGTGGATGGTATAATCCCATAGAATGGTGACATCTTCTATTTCTGTAACCGGCGCTGGCCGATGTTCATACCAGTGTTTGCTTACACATTTTCCAAAGTGTTTGCACATTGTCCAGTTTATTTCTATCGACGATTTTTATTTCATTTTAGGGCAAGTATAGAACATCCTGAGATTAGATGGTCTATTGTTTCTTGGTATTTGTCACAGAACCTGCATTTTGGATCCACATTATTATGTATGATATTTGCCTGAAAATTCCTAGTGAAAAGACTCTGGTCTTGCGCTGCAAGAATAAAGCCTTCAGTTATTATTATTATTATTATTATTATTATTATTATTTATTTATTTATTTATTTATTGAATTGATTATTTTCTTTGGCTTCTGATCTTTATTCATTTCTTTCTAAGGTCAGAAATGGCACCATGACATTTTCCACTGAGCAGTCCATACCTATTTTCCATAGATAAAGACCTTAATGTGTGGGCTGTACTTGCGAGAACAATTTTTTGTCCTTTATTAATGCATGGGCGACCGGGAATCGGTTTAATGAGTCTATAGAAAACTTTTCCAACCAATCCAAGGGCTACAACAGGTATTTTTGATGTTCTCATGTTCCATATTTTTAGATTTCGATTTCAAGGCCCTTGTATTTTGCTATTTTTTGAAGATCTTCAAAGATACATTCCAATCTGCAGTGACTGCCATGTCAATAAGAAGGCACAATTTATCTTTGCGGTCTCTAATGAAGATGTCTGAGAGATTAGATTTGATTGTTCTGCCTGCTTGTATTGTAAAGTCCCATAACATTGTCACAGGTCCTATTTCCATAACTGGGTCTGGGTGTTGTTCATACCAATTTCTTGCTGTTTTCTTTCAGTGCAGATATTTGCGTACTCTGTCATGTCAAGGGCTAACTTTGTTCAAGATATCAACTTTAGGACGACTATCGGCAAAAACTAAAGAGCTAGTCCTGCCCATGAGACGCGGCTATTCACCGTCAGATATCACCTCGATATTTTTAGGCCACGTGGATGTATTATTATTATTATTATTATTATTATGAAATTAAATTATGCCAAATAAATGAAAACTATTATAAATTTAATTATCCATTTCTTTTACAGTTTTAAAACAAGTTCTTTATATTTTTATTGTTTCCTTTTCTTACATGCTCATCCTCCGTTCTGCTGGAAAAAAAAAACAAAAAAACATCTTCAATCCTGCAGAAATTATTTTCGTTTGTCAAAAGAACAGTAAGAATTTCTTTAATTAGAGAATACAGAACATATTCTTGGTGCAAATGACCTGCATTAGTACATAAATTCAGTAAACATACAAATGCCATGAGAAAAAGAAATCTTTTCACTTGACTTATTCAATCTTTACAGTTCAACACTAACGAAATTGGTTCACTGTGTCGTGCAAGACAATTTATCTCTCCAGAATTTATCTTATACATCTAAAAGTCTACCATTCGTACATGCTTAGAATATGGCTGCCACGTAGGGTTCAGTGTCACTGCTATTTTACCTGAAGCTCCTTGATAAAATCCCAAAAAGAATCAGCAATATTATTGGTCATGATTCAGTTCCTTTCACGCCACCCAAAGCTTACCTTCCTGTGAATTTTCTCTAAATACTTCATTGTAATTGTTCAGATGAGTTATGTTTTTTATTTATTTAAGCACAGTACAAGACTGGCGTCGAGATCTCTAAATTTACTATTGAGCTGGGTATACATATCTGTAAATTCAAGGCTACCAATTTCATTCCTCGTATTTCGAACTTGTAGAACTCTCTTCCAGTGCCATTCTTTCCAGGAAAGGAATAAGTGTAAACTGTAAGAAGACAGAATATACGGTTGTCAGCAAAAGAGACAGACCGACATGCGAATTACAAAGTGGAGATACTAAAATTACACAAGTTTAAATGTTTAAATATCTAACAAATGTTTTAAGTGTAGTGGGAAAAACCGAAATCTGAAGGCTCTTTTGGAGAGCGAAAGATGTCAAAAGTTATGTAAAAAATTAAGAAACAGAAAGATTTAAAGGGAAACAAAGAGAAGACAACTAAACTGTTATGTAATATCGGTAATCCTGTATGAGAGTGAGTGCTGGATCATCTCAAAACTTGAGACTTGAAGCAAAAAAATGTAGTTATTCAAATGGATGCTGAAATTATCATGGATTGAAGACGTGTGCATCGACAAAGTATTAAAGTAAATGGGAAACGAAAACAACACTTATAGTTAGAGAGAGAGAGAGAGAGAGAGAGAGAGAGAGAGATTCTAGGGCCCGGAATGTGAAAAGGTGGGTTGGATAAGCAAGACATACACAAAATATTGAAGACGAAATGGAAAGTAAAAAGCAGCGGATAAGGATCCTTAATAAGATTCTGTGAATATTTGGTAGAACAGATAAATCTGGGAGATATAGAAAAACAATATTTACTAATTGCTACTAAAGACATGCAATTGCCGAATGTCATTATCGACCAGGTCCAGAAGGGACACAGAATTTTGAAGACGAGGATCTTGTTGCTATTAGGCATCTCAAAATGCATCAGTACTTTCCTACCTAATTATTCTCCTCATTCAAATTATAGCATCGCTTATGCTTGCTTTTGAAGAATGGCTTCAAATTTCATAAAACTTTCAAGGTTTTAACGAATTCTTCATGGATGGTTCAAATACTTCCTCATGTCTCCAGCACTTCAATATCTTCCAGAGTTTACTGAGACCTTTTCAAGTTATTCAGAGTTGTGGCTATACACT